CTGGAAAATTCAATGTCGGGATAATATCTCGCATTTATCAAGGTGTATTTTCATAATTTTCCGGTAGATAATTGTTAGTTTACTAGGCAAGCTCTTGTTGCAGGGATGACTTTAGCAATTCAGCCCTGATGATGGCTTTTATGCTATCTAATTGCTCTAGTTTTTTTTGCCCTCCGCTAGTAGTCTAAGGGGCAATCAATTCCTTTTGACAAGGGAATTACAGTTAAAAGTTCATTTTATTGCTCAATTGGCAAGATTTGTCTGGTGAGTTCGTGTTTGAATTTTTTAAGAAATGTTACGTGAATATTCGTAGTCGCAATAGGTATAGTTTATCGGAGTTATATGCCTTGATTTTTTGGTGTTCTTAAACTCCTAATTAAGTTGGTGTTCACAAGGATAATTAAATCACACACACGAATTAATGGGTTGCAAAGGCATTGCGGCTTTTTACTAGAAAGCAAGGAAAAAAAGATTTTTTCCCATTGGGGAATATTGTCGAACACCTGGCGTGTGTCAGAGGCCAGTCAAAAGAAAGAAAACTAGAACTAAACTAAAAAGCTAAAACTAAAGCCCGTCCTTTGCTTCTGTACGTTGTCCCCTTTTAAAGAAACAAAAGAAAGAAGACTAAAAGCTATCTAGATGGTCCCCACACATGTGGACAAAGCCTCCAAAGTACTTCTTGTTCCAAGTCTCTTTACGTTGCTTACTTTGAAGAGTCCAAATGACTAAATGCCTTTCACTAGCTTGTGGTCCCCACTAATTCAAGGGCCAAGGGTTGAAGCCCTTAGAAGTCTCCATTTTCTCCATAAAGTCTCTCCTTTTTGGTAGTTTTCTGTTTCATCCCTGAAATTAAGTCCAAATACCAAATATAAGTAGATATCAACAATTAATATAATATTTGGCAGGGATAAAAAGGGAAATTAATACTAAAATTACTAACAGATGATTCCCTATCAGTGTTCACAAGGATAATGATGGTATTCATGAAAAAATATTTTAAGATATTAGTGCGAGCAATTTTGAATATGGTATTTACATGTTAAATTTTACGGATGATTGAGGCCTCAATAATGGATCCCTTGAAGACCTATGCTACGTGTCTATTTTTTTTTTTAAAAATGTTTAGAAGTGGCTTTGAAACAATCTACAGTAGAGTTGCTGTATTGCAACTAGAGAAATCATTAATTCTATTCTATACAAATAAAGTGTGAATAAATTCACACAAAAAAGTGTGGAATGCTTTAGGGTATTGTTTTTATGTACTGTCAATGTATACTCATACGATATTTTTTACGCATTGTCAATGTTCAACATGGACACATGTACAAATTTTTGTTTCTGTAAATACTACAATAGCTAGTGCCTCTTCAAAAAAAAAAAAAAAGAAACGGAGAAAGGCTTGAAATTCTTTTCTAGGTTGTGTGTTCTTTGATTTTATAAATCAAAAAAAAAAAAAAAGTACAACGTCCAACCTAACATCCATGTGCCTTGTACTCTTTCTTTTGTACCTAAATTAATTCCATCCTGTTGTCCTCAAAGGAAATACGTGGTTAGAATTTCATTTGGGTAAATAGCAAAACAAATAATGCATTTTTCTAATGGGTTATTGCTTAATATCTGGCTTGTGGCGCCTGCTGCCTTCCTTATAGTTGTTTATCCACAAATTTTGTCAACCCAAAATGAAGGGAGCAATGTCAATTCTCTTCCTTCTCAGCCATCTCTTAGTTATTTCTAGATTCGTGAATGTTGTATCAAATGGGAAGACAAAAAAAAAGTAAACGGAATTATTTAGTCAATAGCTATTCTTTAATTTGAAATGACGTGTGTTAATGATAGAAGATTAAGAAAAAAAAATGTTATCATTAGCCTGTGGACTGGGCAAATGGCCTAAGGCATTATAGTATTTGGGTTGGTATCTTGCCAGTGTTTGCATCATTTTAATAATCTTATATCTTCTTTCTCTTCTTCTTGGAAGCAACTGGATTAATAAACTAATCTTCTACATTGTTTGCTCCTAGTTATCTTCAGTCGCGATATTGAGCAATACCATTACAATTGATTGGATGTAAGTCAATCTTCAATTGCAGTTCACTGAATAAAATGTAGAGAATTACCCTTTGTAGTTTATAGATGATGAAAGACAAATTTCATGATGAAGTGCTATACACACTGAGCCTATACACTGATTTTGTGCAAAGATAGTGATTCTTCCTTATGTGTATTTGTATGTTGTACTTGGGAGAGAATCAATTTTGTGGGAATGCATTTTTTCACTAGGAATGCATTTTCAAGGCAGGCTGGGGATTTTTTTCCTTTTTTTTTTTTTAATGTAAAGTTCTTGAAGGACACAGGTTCGGGTTGAATACATTAAGCAAGACTTTGTTTGAACGTGTATGGAACTGCTAATTGGTAATGCACAACAAATTGTCCATGGAAACTCTCTCTTGCTTGCAATCATAAGTCAGGTAAATTGCCCAACTGGAGCCATCATGGGTACATCCTTGGAAAAATGATAAAATGTGATAAAAGCATACACCAGTCTATCTCTTTCCTTTTTCATCCACAATCGCAAAATCATTTCAACTATGCTAGTGTTTGTACTTTAGCATCCACTCCTACATGTCCCTTACCAGTACAAGTTGGATCAGTTAGTAATATCGTGCCACCTCCTTATAAAAAATCGTATGTTTGAATTCTGCTATCTATATGATGATCGTATTGGTGAGCAATGTGTAAGAACTCCTATAAATGACTTATAATCTGGTAGACTTACCCCTATCCATGGCCATGTTCACCATTCAAATTTTTTATTATTAAAAAAAAAATCTTACATGCCGCATGTTCCAGTTGGTTATACACGCAGGATGCACTGAACATCCATATGTATGTATACCAAAAAAATATACCTCTCGTAAGTGTAGGCTAACTTCTACTATATATATATATAATTATATAATTATATATATAGATTAAAATACATAAATTAATGTATACTTAGGGTCCGTTTGTTTCGGGTGAAAATGTTTTTCAGGAAAATATTTTCCTAATTTCTCGTGTTTGGTTGCACAAAAGTTACTGAAAACATTTTCCTATGTAAAATATTTTCACTCATCTTATGGAAAACAACTTCCCTTCCAAACTTACTGAAGTTGTTTTCCGAAATGCATACATCCCGCTTGTAGTATGTTCCAAACTTATTGAAAACATCTTGTAGTATGTTCTTTTTTTTTTTTTTTAGTGTAAACAGGAGGACTCGAACCCAAGACCTCTTTCTTACACTCCCTCCCCCGTACCACCCAACCCTCCCCCTAGTATATTCAAAATAAAAAAAAACCTCATCCTGCTCATCCTATGCTAGTAATTAATTATGTATAATAGGGACATTCTTTTCTAGAGAAACTTTCAGCAGTGAAAGTGCAAGATATATGTCACAATAAGCATTGCATGTGATTGATATTTGACACTAAATGGCCAACAATTTGTTTATTGCTTAAGGAGATATTTTTTATTCATATATACATTTCCCCAAGATTTTTTAAAGTTAAACAATGAGATAAATTTTCTTATTTTGCATGGGAAGAAGTATGTAGTTATAATGTGTAGAAAGTAAAGATAGAGATAAAAGTGAAAATATTTCAAAAGTTAAACAAACACCAGAAAAATGAAGTAAGAAAATATTTTCAATAAGCTAACCAAACACCTGAAAATGATGAAAGGGAAATGATTTTCATGAAAAATTACTTCCACGGAAAATATTTTCCCAAGGAAAACATTTTACTTTCAACCAAACAGACCCTTAGTGCAATCATTTTTGCTTAGTAATTCCCTCATATGTCCTTTCCCTAATACTAGTTTTAGTGTTGTTTTTATTACTCTGAAAATAATTAGTAGTATATTTATTGACAAAGATGTACATTAAATGTGAGCACGGCAATGTAGGACAATCACAGAAGAAAAATGAACATTATTTTAGGATAGAAGGAATAACTATTTACTGCTTTAGTATTATAATAATTCCCTCAGTTCCATTTTAATAGTCTTGTTTTTCATTTTTATCTATCCCAAATTATAATTCACTTTCTAATTGAAAAATATAATTAATTTTTAATTTCTTTAAATACTCTTATTCAACTTATTTTGTTATCAGTGAGCCTAACCTATCCTATTCAATAATTGCTCCAATCGGGTCTCAGACGGAATGGAAGATACAACAATCATGAAGATAAAATATTTCTTGATACATTTTTTAACAGGATACCGTATATATTTTATAAAAAATAGTTTCTACTGAGAACCATATACGTTTCTACTGAACGATATTATATATTCTTCAAAATTATGATTTTCCTATTTTTGTAGCCTGAGACCACCAAATAAGCGTGCCCGGCCCCAAAGAGGAATGGGGAGAGGTAGGGTTTGGTTTAGACCCATTATTATATACCTTTGAGGTTTATGTTAGCTAATTGCTGTCCTCCTAGACAGTAGTCCATCGTACAAACAATTCGTTTTGACAAGAGAATCACAGTTAAAAGTCCACCATATTTCTCAATTGGTAGGATAATTTGTCTGGTGAGTTTGTGCATGGACCTTTAGCAAATGTGACCTGGAGTTTTACGAAGAATTGTTACCTTATTATTGTCTGGGGCTTTGGGTGCCCGCAAACTTCTAATTGAGTTGGCATTGGCAAGGATAATGATGGTATTGATGAAAAAATAGTTCGTGATATTAATATAATATGAACAGCAAGTATTATGAAACATTTACTGCTTTAGCATCTAGACTTGGCATCGTTTACTTGGAAACGCACTTCGGCCGAAAGTAGACAAAAGCTGACCCCTTTAGGCCCCAGGAAAGGCCCCTAATGTATCCACAGGCCAGGCCAGGAAAATTAAGTGTCTTGCCGACGACATTTGACCATTTTCATATCATGAGAAAGTTGTAAACCTTGAACTAATGTTTATACAAATTTGATCTCAGAGTGAATAGAACATACTACAATAATGGAGATATCCTGCAGCAGCAGCACTAATTGCTTCGAGTTCGCTCTAGAATATCTTCGCCGCTTGGATGATACCGGCACAGGGTACATTTATCTTGTCTGGAATCTGAAGATCGGACTGAGACTATTACAAAGCTTTGATCGGTATCTGACACTGTGGAGGAGGGGGAACCATGAAACCTGTTTGGAACAAGATGAGGAGGAGAAGGATGTTACGTCTTCCAGAATTCAAGATCTGATTATCAAGAGAATGCAAGATCTTGAATTTGTTTGCAGCGAATGCTCGGATCATTCGACTCGTGTTGGAAGTGAGCTCATCATATTCCTGAAGGCAATCAAGTTGTTTTTCGAAACAGTTATCAACGAATCGTGCATCAACTATCTGCTGGACTGTTACTGGCTGCCAGATCCAGAGCTCGTTATTGATTTCATCGATTCTGTTTCCGAGATTCTGGAGGAAATTAAAGAATCCCATTTCAAACGCCTTGACGAGCGGCTAATGTTCTTGAAGAGTTTCATTCGCTTTGCTATGCTTCGCGGTGTCGAGGGTCAGCAATTGATAGGTCTCTTGATTCATACTGAAGAGGTGTCTATGAAGGCATTTCGCCTGGCTTCTATATCGTGGTCTGACTGTTTCAGATATATAGTGCGGCGTGACTGTTCCGGACATAATCCTCCTCCTGAAGTAAAACCTCAAATTTCACGGCTAATAAGTGAGAAGATTAATCCCACTGAGCCCAAGTGCTAGAAACTTACATCCATGTCTTGACTGCTTCAAAGTTATCAATATCATCAGACACTTCAGCTCTGGAGAAGAGTAAGCAAACAGTAGCTGACTTTATGGATCGTCTCGTTCAGACTACTATGGAGCTACTGCAACCTTGTACTAGTACTCCAGTCCCGATTATGGATCAAATGCTCGAAATTGTTGAGGGGCTAAGACTCCTGACAATCCTTCTCAGGCATCAGGAGAAGTTCAAAGAGCTATGCCATGAAATGAAGAATCTTATTGGAGTTGTGGCCTGTGATGCAGCGGTTGTAATTTTCTCTCTTTTTGTGAATCCAATCGAAGAAGGCTTGGCCAAGGAAACCGATCTTGCTCTTTTTCATTTGCTCAAAGTGCTCAAGCTTATGAGGGCAGAATTTACACAGGTCCATCCACTAACATCAGTATCGGGATTTGGTTTTCCTAGGATCTGTGAGTTGGGCTCTATGGATTTTCTCCTAAGAAATCTACAGGAACTAGCAAAGTCTGATGAAATTAATGGTTCGAATGCTTTTCCAGTGGATAAAATCCAGACTATCCAAGAAGATTTTGAATTTTTAAGATCTTTTCTGGAGAAAATTAAGGAGCAACGCAATCAGAACGAAAAACTTCAAGCTTTCTGGAGTCATGTTATGGAGATTGCATATAAAGCAGAGTTAGTGATTGACTGGACACTTGTTGGTGATGGATGTGAATATTTTTTGGATGATGTTGCTAGAGAAATCAATGTTATGAAGATTGAGGCTCAAGAGATCTATGACAGCATAAGCTATGTTGGTGAAACCATCAAGGGAGTTACCAAGACTTTCACTCGCGTTCCATCACAAGTTGCTGTCGCCGCGTACAATGAAGAGCTGGTGCCTCTCGACGACGAGGTGAAAACTATCACTGATGGTCTTACAAGAGAAGGATCAAGGCAGTTGGATGTGGTTCCCATCGTGGGTATGCCTGGTCTTGGTAAGACCACATTAGCCAATATAGTTTACAATTCTCCATCAGTAATGTTGCATTTCAATATTCGTGCTTGGTGCACTGTTTCTCAATCATATAGCATGCACAACATGTTAGTTCAGATATTGGGTGGTATTGAATCTGGAAACTTGAACAATATCAAAAGATGGATGAACATGATTTGGCTGTAAAGCTAAAACAAGTTTTGTTGAGAAATAAGTATCTCTTGGTTTTGGATGATTTATGGGACGCTAAGGCTTGGAATTTGTTGGAGAGATCATTGCCCGATGACGCCAATGGAAGCAGGATTCTCATCACGAGCAGATTGCAGAATTTGTCTCTGCAATTCAAACCTGATAGCAAGGTTCACCATCTCCGCCGCCTTACCGACGAAGAGAGTTGGAATTTGCTACAGAAAAAGCTATTTGGCAAAAAAGGTTGTCCTCCAAGATTAAGTGGAGTTGCTTCTCAAATAGCAAAATCTTGTAGGGGCTTACCTCTCACAGTTGTCCTTGTTGCTGGAATTCTTGCTAATACTGCAGAAGACTGCTGGAAAGAAGTTACAAAGAGTCTAACTTCTAGTATTGTTCTTGATGATGAATACTGCATGAAGACACTTGAGCTGAGTTACACTCATTTACCGGATGATTTGAAGCCGTGCATTCTTTACTTTGGTGCATTTCAAGAAGACAAAAATGTTCCCGTCCGAAGGTTGTTTTGGCTCTGGATCTCTGAAGGATTTGTACGAAAGACCGAAGGAATGAGATTAGAGGATGTGGCAGATGACTACTTGAAGGATCTGGTTGATAGAAGTTTAGTTATAGTTTCCGAACAAAGAATTAAGGGTGGTGCCAAAGCCTGCCGAGTTCATGATTTGGTACATGAGTTTTGTGTGAAAAAAGCCCAAGAAGAAAACTTTCTACATATTTTGCATAGTCAGAATGATTGTTTTATTCTTACTAGCCCAAGCAACCCCCTTCGAGTTTGTGATCGAAGTGCTAGGAATTTGATGATTCGGGAGTCAATGCTAGAATTTCCCAATGCCCGCAGTTTGTTATGGTTTAAGGAGGATGATTTGGGGTTTTGGTTACCTAAACTTCTAAGAGTGTTGGATTTGGGGAAATTGGTGTTTGTTGAATGTTTTCCGATGGAAGTACTTCTGTTTGCTCACTTGAGATACTTGGCTCTTCGTCTTTACTTGATAGATTCTATCCCAGCTGCAATAGCAGACCTCTCAAGGTTACAAACTTTTCTGGTACGAGGAGAAAATGTCTCTGATTTATTGTTACCCAAGACTATCTGGAACATGAAGACATTGAGGCATCTATGGACTACAAATCCCGAAGTTGGTTTTATTTTTCCTGTTGAAAATCTTGAAGTATCCTCAGGTTTGGATCGTTTAGACAGTTTAAGCCTTGCCATTGACCCCTCCTCTCAAAGCTTGCAAAAGATACTGACAAAGTTACCAAACATCCGCAGGCTAAGATGTAAGAAGACGGCATCAAGAGAAGAACCTACCAGAGTTGGCGACGGGATTCTCATGTTTGACTGTTTGAATCAACTAGAATCACTTACTCTGCGTTACTTTGATAGGTACAGATTTAAATTCCCTTTGAATTTGAAGAAGTTGACACCGAATAACTAAACAGCCATGGAGTGAAATCTCAACAATTGGAAAGTTGCTCAAACTTGAAGTGCTTAAATTATGCCATAACTCCTTCGTTGGGGAAGCATGGGAAATGAAAGAAGAGGAGTTCCCTAAGCTCCGAGTCTTGAAATTGTCAAGGTTGTGCGGCTTTTGCAGCTGGACTTCATCTTCTGATAATTTTCCCCGTCTTGAGAAATTGATTGTGCACAATTGTTGGATGTTGGAAGAGGTGCCTTCTTGTTTAGGGCAATGTCCGACTCTTGAAATGATTGAGGTGAGTGGGTGTCGCGAGTCTGTTGTAAATTCAGTGAAGCAAATTCAACAAGAACAGATAGATATGGGAAATGAGATTCTAAAGATCTTAATTGAAGATTGCATTGATACATGGAGTTCCAGCGAAGACGAAGAAGGATGGTAAATCCCTCACAAGAAGTCTAATTCAAGTTTCTTGAAAGCAATTTCTGGAGAATCCCCCTTTTTTGTTGTTGACTAGATGCAGCTAGCCATAAAATGTCAATTCTTTTTTTCAATTCTGCTACAGATTGATATGATGCTTATAGTTAGCTAAGCACAAGTTTATACGCACGCAAGATACACTTTTCCTTCTTTGTATTTCGGTCAGAGTAGTAACTTTTTAATTGCTTCTCTTTTTCCTCAACAAAGAACCATACACTCAATTAATTAATATGTTGAAGCATCCCTTTTTTTTTATTGCAACAAATATTAAGAAGACACAAGAAAAAAAGGGAAAAGAAACTTGGTTATGTTGCTTTTTACCTTTGGAACTATTGTATATAAAAGAAGTTACATATTAAGTGGGAAGGAGTGCTTAAATTAGGGACTTGAGCTCCTCTCCATTTTCTACAATGTACATCTGGTGGATTAATTCAACCTAAAAAGATGATGTCCAAATCCCTTAAATTAGTAGGTGTGTCGTCTTCCTGCATGCTCAAGTCAAGTCCCTTAAATTAGTTCTTTCTGTTTTCTTCTTTTTATTATTCTTGTTGTGTAATATTATATTTGTTGCACCTTGGTCCCTAGGGTGAAAAGACATACATCTTTTCATTATTTTTAAGTTCGTTGTTGGCACAAGAAGACAATTGATCCGTTTGGATAGTCTAATTTGGCGAAAAAAATTTGCAAATATCATCCTATTTACATCATAAACACAATTTTCAACAACTTTTTTTTTAATCTTATATATATCACATCACAAAAATGTTATATAATATTTGAAATAATTTTTTCTCCAAATGATCTCTTATCCAAACACACTCATTAATATATTCAAATAGCGGAGCCTTTTTTTTTCCCATTTACCTTTTCTAAAGCCAACATCTTTACTAATCAAAGTATATTTTTAGGCAAAACTACTTTGTGCATTCCAACTTATCTTTTTTCGTTCATGATTTTTTTCATCTACGTTTTGGTGAAAATAATTAACACATTTTTATACTCCATTTTACTGAAATTTTTTATCACATAACAACAGAGAAAAATTTGAGCACGTGCATTGGAAAAAGAAGATATTACAGAAGCAACTTTTAGAAGATTACATAAAATAGGGACATTCAGTAATGTAATTATTGTTGTTTCTCGGATATAATTTTCTAAGGTGATATTTGAAAAAGGGTAAAAAGAACGAGTGATATTAAAGAAAAAAACAGGTGCAACTTTTTCAAAATTCATACAAAGAATAAACAAAAAAAATCACTTTACATCCTGAATGCATCATTACCACTTAATTCAATCTCTGAAGTTCAGTAGAACCATGAGCATTTTGGGATCCATGTGCATGAATTTCACTTGTGATGAGGCTTCCACATCTGATATTAACTTTGGCGACTTGATCTTCTTTGTGCACTTCCTTTGCTGGAGGGGTTTCTGGAGAATTAAGCAAATACGGAAAACAGGGAGAATCAATAAAACCATAGAAGGGGGATGAAAACTACAACTGAATGCTTGAATCTAATTCCTACTGACTGTTTTTAGGCCTATTTCTACAGATTGGTAAAACCATATAATGCAATCAAAAACTTTTGGATTAAAGAAAAATAAAGATAGAAAAGATGAAAAATGGTATTGATTAATTTTTTTTATTTGTCGATGTGTCTTGATTGCTAAACTGAAAGCATTATATGGAAAGAAATTGGAAACGAATGGAATTTTAAGGGAGAAGGGGTCACTTGGTTAGTAAGATATATTAAGGATAGTAATTAATACAAATTCAATAACTTAAAAAGAGTTAACCACTTGGTTGGTCTAGTAGTCAGGGAGAACTTTTAAAATCTCTTCAGAAAAAATAAAAAGAATTCAAAATAGTTGTGGTTGTAATGACAGAAAACAAATTGATCCACTGGAGGGTGGGATTGGTTGGGTGGTACAGGGGAAAGTAATGTAAGTCATAGGTCTTGGGTTCGAGACCTCTCACTTACCAAAAAAAAAAAATCCACCGATGATATATTCAATTAAAACTATCTTAACAACTTCTAATTGATTGGTTAGCATGATATTCTTAAAAAGCCAACCTTGAATTAAGACTATAATTTAAGGTTAATATAGTAAATTCACAATAAAGGTTAAAAAAGTCATTTTACACAAACTCCTACACTACACTACTGTTATACGAGGTGCAAATGAAAACTAAAGAAACAGGCAAACGTTAGAAGTTAGAACAAGACAACTCGAGGATCAAATTAGCAATTGTACTTTTACCCCCAAGAAATTAACCAGAGAGAGAGAATGTAAATAGTAAAACATATTTTTACTGTTCACTTTACCATTTACCTTTTTGTTCAACTCTTATAAACTAAAGCCCTTAACCTTAAATAGAGCTGTAAACGAGTCAAATTGAATCAAGTATTTTATATTTGAGCTCTGTTCGTTAAGCGATTCAAACAACGTTCGTGTTCGTTCGTTAATTTTCGAATTTCAAACTTGTGTTCGTGTTCGGCTAGTTAAGCAAAATTCATGTTCGAGTTCGGCTCGTTTAACATAAACAAGCTATTTGTGAACATGCTCGAAATGCCGAATCCAAATTATTTTAAACCTTAAATATGCCATACAAATCATTAATCATTCTAAAAAATAATTAAAGCACTAAGTGATTAAATTCTATTATTCATTAACTATATAACTAACATTAACATAAAAATAACAAATAAAACCCTCCAAATATAAAAATGTAGTCATAAAATTAACCCTAAAATTTATCAAATGATAATTATGTCTATATTCGCGAACGTTCATTAAAACTCGCAAACATATTCGTGTTCGAATGTTCGTTAAAACTCGCAAAGATGCTCGTGTTCATTTGATTATTAATCGAACAAAAAAATTCGTTCGAACTCGGTTCGTTTTAGGTTTCGAACGAGTCTTTCACGAACACGGACGTACCGAAATGAACTTGAGTTACCGAACAGTTGGTTCGTTTAACAACTCTAACCTTAAACCTCTCTTCTCAAACTCCATTGCCTAATTTCTGGTAAGTTGCCTTTCTATATCTTGGTTTACTTACTTTTTATGCATATTTGTGGCTCATCTTTGTCAATTTTTTTTCTTTTGTCTTTCTGGTTTTTAGGCAGAAATTTAAAATCTTGTTGTGGGTATAATAGAATTGGAGGGAGAAATTTTGAATTTGTTTGCTAAAATTGATGACAAAAGTTGGTTTGTCTAGGATTTGCCTTTAGCTGAACAAAACCTTAGCATTGCTTATGGTGGGAAATTTATCAATTTTGTTGGCTCTTTTCTTGGATGTGTTTTTTTCGATTTTAAGGTTCTTTTTTTTTGGGAAAATTAAAGGTGTAAATTCATTTCTTTTCTCGCTGAATAATTTGGATTTGATTATGTGAGATAACTAAGATGGGAAAGGAAACAAAATTCACCTATGTGAAGTTCTGACTTCCGTGCAGTATTTAGTAAATGATGCTTTCGGAATTATGCTTGTGGGAATTGGTTTTTTTATTTCTACAGGTTTTTTTTTTTTATCTTTTTTTGTTCTGAAGGATTTTGGTGTGTAATTTATCAGATTACCCAATTTAATTAACGACCCGTTAAGGATGTTTCAAAATACCCTCTTTTGTCGGTCAATTAGGAATCATGTTCGATTTTCTTGGTGGCGCCGCAGCGGCGCTCCTTAATTGAAAGTGAAAAATAGGTTTAGGTATTAAATTGGACAAAATTAAAAGATAGGGACCAAATGGACACTAGCAAAAAAGGTTAGGGACTAAATTAGCGATTTTCCTTTTTTTTTTGGCCTGTTTTTTCCTGGCCTGATCTTCAGATGACTTGTGTTTCCTCTCGGGCCACAGTTTCTCTCGGCTCTTGCTTGTCAATAGTTTTTAGCAGACTGACAGCTACCGAGATTACAGTCCCATCAGCCGGTATCTTGCACGCGGCAGTAGCACCCCTGCGGACAGTAGGTAAGATTAAATTCATGTCCCAAATTCTGCCCCAGCTTAATTTTTAACCCAGTCAGTTCTTAATTGTGGCCTAAATTCAAAATTTTGATGGAGTCGCTAGTAAGTTTACTGAGATAATTTTCTTTAATTTATTCTTAGTTCCTTCCGTGTTGTTTGTGAGAAATTTATTTGCTTTTTTTCTTTATATGCTTAGGGGAACGAAGATTGTTATATTTGGCAATCTATGATGGAAGAACTGCAGCAGAGGGGTGTCAAAAGGAGGAAGGAATGGAAGAAAAGGAGTTCTAAAAAATCCAAAAACAAGAAAAATGTGAGAACTTTAGGGCCTGGTTCAGAAGATGGGAGGGTTAAGAAAATGGATAAAAAGATGAAAAAGTTTCTTCAGAAAAAGGCTAGAAGCTATAATTCAGATGATGATGAGGTGGAAGAAGAAGACTGGAATTTGAAGGGGGGAGAAGAGCAGTCAGGAGTAGTGAAAAATGAGGTAAAAGGTGGGTTTGAGTCGAAATTTTCGGATAGTGAGGAAGAAGGAGAAGAGAATGGTGAAGAGAAAATTGAGGTTTCGGAGGATGAAGATGGTGAAATTCAGCCAGGAGTAATGAGATTTTCAGAGGGTTGTAAGGCTTTTAGGTTGGCATTCAAGAAGATTACCAAGAAAACTGCTTCAACCGATCATGATGTACTGGTGAGTATGCTTAACAAATTCTTGACTTCTGCTATTGATCATGTTTGGAGATTATTTTTGTAACTGTGATTGAATTTGATTAGGGGCGCTTCTTTTTTGGTAGGGTCCTGTGTTATCAGCACATAAAAAACTTGTTGCCGAGAAGCTAGCTGAAGAAGAAGCAGAGAGAAAGGTTAAGGGTGAGGCAAAGAAGGAAAAACACCTGGTATATTGATGAATTTGTTTAGTTATTTTGTTTTTTCATTGTTGCCGTTTTTGATAAAATTTTATTTTCATGTTTAGGTTCAAGTAGCGGATTTAGAAAATGTAATT